TCGGGTGACAAGTCTGACTTTTGTTTGTCTCACATTGGACTCAACCGGTAGGAAATCCCGTGCATACTGCCTGCTTAAATGTTCACTACGTCACAACTTATTTGGCAAATGTGTTTCCATCTCTGCTTTTGGGCATTAACTCTTACAGGATGGAGGATATTGGTCTTGGCGGAGGTTTGCACTCTCTGGGTGCTTCTAGTTGGGTCTGGGCCATTTTAGACCATTTTTCTAAGTTTATCTGGAAAAAATGCCTCATTGTACACAACACTGTCTAGCAGATCAATCATTCAGTCTAGATACTGACGTACCGCTGTGGGTAAATGATGCAATATTTACACAAATTTCGTATTCTTAACGTGCATCATATGCCTGATTCTGCAAGGGCAGACATGGATTTTAATAACTTGAAAGAAGAGAACAAAAGGAGTTAAAGCCCTCCCCGACCCACACAAAAAACCTAGATTTCAACATCAAAGCTGCTTTCAGAGGCCTTGATGTGTTTAGGTTTTAATCTGAAATGAGTGTTTGTCTGTATTCAGACGAGAGATGGATATGGGACTCTTATACTGATTTAAACCTTTTCAGAACTGGACTCAGACGCTACAAAAATTAGTTTTTGTGCAAAAACAAAGCGTGTTTCTGTAGAACCACAGGAGGTCGGAACATGTATTAAAGAGATGAAGGGATGCTCAGCTGTACTGTGATTCATTTCTGCTCAAATGAGTAAGAAACATTAAAAGCTGTAAATGTCGGCTCATGTTTAGTCGCTGCAATCTGACTTTACACAGGAAGGGTCTGCGTGCTCGTGTGTCCAAACACAAAGAACTAGATATATGTTATAAATCATGTTATGATAGAGGGGTTTACCACTATATCGCAGAGCATAAACTTTTTATTTACAAACTAGAAGCACCAGGAGAGTGCAAACCTCCGCCAAGACCATTTCCCCATCCTGTCAGAGTTAATGCACAAAAGCAGAGATGGAAACACATTTGCTGAATAAGTTGTGACGTAGTGAACATTAAGCAGCAGTATGCACGGGATTTCTTCCCTGTGGAGTCTAATGTGGAAAAAAAAACAAGTCAGACTGGTCACCCGACGTTATTCGTGGTCAAACTGGTGTGGGATTAAGCTCCTAAGTTTTCATCAGTCACATTTCACCATGTAAACATCTGTTTTATCTCCTTGTATGAGTTTGTAATGGTTTGACTCTCTTTATAAAGTGCTTCCTGGCTCCCCCCGTCTCCAAACTTTGAGGCCCGGCAGCTCTCTGTTTACAAGCCTAGTAGAGACAAACTGTTTTGATTAGTTGTTTCTGAAATGTGGTGTGTTTGAGAAAAAGAGGTGTCATGGTGCAGTCACGCACTTCCTGGCCACAAAACGTTCTCTAAATGCGCACCAAATGTGTAAAAATGCGCACACTATTGCAAAAATTATTCATCATTAAATGTGTTTTTAACATTACTTTTTATAAAGTTTGAAGTCCATGCTGTCCAATCTAGCTCACTGTTTTTTACAGAAGCCCTGTGAAAGCATCACAGCTTTGCCGATCTCGGAGTGTTAAAAGAAAAAAAATTCCTGTATCTGCATCGTGACCTGGAACATCACCAAAATCTAAAGGTGTGTTCCTTGGCCCAGAAACTACATGTGGTAAAAATGTCATGACAATCCGTCCACAAGTTTTTGGTAATGTAACGACAGACAGACGGACATACGCGACCGAAAACATTACCTCGCCCTGGGCGGAGGTAATTAAAAGATGTGAACAAGGGAAGATTTGTCCGTCCAGCCTTACATGTTGGAGCCAGAGTCTGACAGAGCAGAATGAAGACCACCAAATTTATGTCATGCCATGTTATAAATCATGTTTAAAATTTATTCCATTTTGATATAATCTTAAATGCTCAAAGGATGTATTTTTAAGCCTTTTCAAAGCTTAGAGTTTGACAACAATCAGACGTGGTGTTTGAGGCTAAAGACACCTGTCACTCTGAAGTGCTTTAAATTAGTGATGTGCAGATCGATACTGAAATATCGATACTACCGAAACCTGAACTTTATGCTCTAGAATCGATACTAAAATCAAAATATTGATACTTTGATACTTCAGTTATTTTGCATAATGTGTAACATTAACAGGAAAATGGAAAATAACTGAACTATTCAACTCTTGTTTAAATCATATGTGGTTGCAGGGAACTACTTTTTCTTCGGCTTGGGTAATGCATAAGCACAGCTCAGTCACTCAGTCTAGATGTATGGCAGGTAATTTTAATATAAAATCTGCTTCGTCTGACTAATTACATTCTAGATGAGGGGTTCCAAAACATTTTCATGCCATGGCCCCCCAAACAGCATTAGTTCTGGCCAGGGACCTTCTTGCAAAACCCACAAACAATGCTACAAAATATACAAAGTAACAACTTTTAGAATGCTTTTTTTCTCACTTCTGTTCACCATTCAAAAATTATATTTCTTTAGAATAAGAATTTTAAATTGTGCTAAACAAATACAGGGTTTGAGTTCGAAAGACTGTTAACTAATAAATATAGTACCATGTCATGAATTATTTATAAAGTGGTTACTTGAAAAACGCTACTTTTTTAAGAATTACCAGACACATTATGTGTGTTATCACAAAGTATCAGTATCGGATCAGTATCGCCAATACCAGACAAATTTTACTCAGTATCAGTATCGGAAAGAAAATTGGCAGTATCAAACATCACTAC